TTAATAAGCGAGAGGGGTCGAGGGGGGAAGTTAATTTGGGAAATGACAAACAAACCCATTTTGCCCCATTATTCTCTTAATGAGTGCGAGCGGGGTGGGGGGGTGTCAACTCAAAAAATGATAAACAAACCCATTTTGCGACCACGGTTTTCATAATCAGGGGTNTTTTTGTGAAAAACTGTAATGCTCATTATCTCCAAAACTACTGGTCCGATCGACTTTTTTTTTTTCAAAATATTCCTCATGGTATCTTCTATCAAGATCAATCAAAATATGCATAGCCGCCCATACAAAGTTTTCAAGATATCACCGTTTTTCTAGTTTTGTAAATTAAAATCCAATGTGGGCTCTATAATGAGCGTTAAACATGGACTAAACATCTGAGATTCTGGCTACTATTTTGCATGATTAGCCTACATTCGTGTATAAAATTTTGTGCTAATCGATTCAGTACATCCTGGCATAGAGTGATTCANCAGACCCATTTTGCCCCATTTGTTATTTTTTTTCTTAATGAGCGAGAGGGCGGCGGGGGGAATGTCGAGTCGGGAAACGATAAACAAAGCCATTCCACCCCATTTTTCCTAATCAGCATGAGGGGGGAAACGTGAATTTGGGAAATGGCTTACAAAACCATTTTGCCCCATTTGTTGTATTTTCCCTGATGAGCGAGAGGGGGTCGGGGGAGTAGAGGGGGGGAGTTAATTTGGGAAGCGGCTCAAGAACCCATTCTGCNATTCGTCCGAAACGCTTTTTTTTCTTAAAAATCACAAATTATCATTTTATCAATGTTTTCCATCTCTACATGACTTCAAAAGTCATATAATACAAATCCATGTTTTTTTTTACTCCATATAATCTAATATTTGATGGAAATCAAGTTTCATAAACTTGATTTCTCACANTTTATTTCGGAAGGGAGGGGGGGTGTCAACTCGGGAGATGACAAACAAACGCATTTTGCCCCATTATTTTCTTAATGAGAGGAAGGGGGCGCGGGCGGGAAGTGAATTTGGCAAATAGCAAACAGACCCATTTTGCCCCATTTGTATTTTTTTTCTTATGAGCGANCCATATAATCTAATATTTGATGGAAATCAAGTTTCATAAACTTGATTTTTTGAATTTACAAGACCATTCTCGTTAATTATAATATTATTCAATAAATACCTGATATTCATCCAAAATGCTGTACCACGTAGATTAAACAGAGTGAGCTTAACGGATTCAGTATTTGCTGCAGACGATCTGTGTGAGTTTGAGTGGGAGTTACATGCACGTCAGCAAATAAATCTTTATGGGCAAATAAAAATACAGTCTAAGGAAATAATTGAGTCGGAATAAGATAAAAATCATCAAGATATTTTAATTAAATAAAAAACTAATATGAATTNACACGATAAACAAACCCATTTTGCCCCATTCTTCTCTTAATGAGTGCGAACGGAAGGAGGGGGGTGTCACGCGGGGGATGACAAACAAACCCATTTTGCCCCATTATTTTCTTAATGATAGAGAGGGGGGGAGAGTCAATTTGGGAAATAGCAAACAGACCCATTTTGCCCCATTTATATTTTTGCTTCCGAATGGAAGCTTTGTAATCGGTCGATTTTTCGATTCGCTAATTTTGCTTGGAAATGATGTAGAATGGTCTGA